TATAACGTGCACCTTTATTTTTCCTCAAAAATTTGGGCAAAAGACTGTACATTATACACAGCAAAATATGGTAATTAGCCCTGGCTGGTATGGCTCAGTGGACTGAGTGCTGGCCTGCGAACTGAAGGGTCACTGGTTCAATTCCCAGTCAGGGCAACATGCCTAGGTTGCAGGCCAGGTCCCAAGTAGGAGGTGCACAAGAGGCAACCACACACTGATGTTTCTCTCCCTCTCTTCTTCCCTTCCCCTCTCTCTAAAACTAAATAAAATCTTAAAAAAATATATGGTAATTAAAGTCAGTCCTCCACCTACGCAAATTCCCAAACATGGTTCAGAAATACAGTTGACCCTTTAACAATGTGGGTTTGAACTAAAGCATTTAAGTAGATCCATGCAGTTCAAACCACACTGTTTAAAAGTCCACTATAGCTTGAAAGCAGAAAAAGTGATGCTTCCAGATGGTTCCTTCTTTCTCAAAACTGCTTTGCTATTCAGGGACCTTTGTGGTTCCACTCACATTTTAGGACTGTTTCTATTTCTCTGAAAGTTGCCATTGGAATTTTGACAGGACTGCACTGAATCTGTAGATTGCTTTGGTTAGTATGGAAATTTTAACAATACTAATCCTTCAATTTCTTTCATCAGTGTCTTATAGTTTTCAGTGGTATATTTATTCCTAGGTATTTTATTCTTTTAGATGCAATTGTAAATGAAATTATTTTTAAATTTCTTTCTGAGTGTTTGAGTGTATAGAAACCCAACTGATTTTTGTATATTGATTTTTGTATCCTGCAATTTTATTGAACTCATTTATTACTCCTAAATTTTTTTTTGTGGGGATCTTTAGGGTTTTCTATATAAAATATCATGCCATCTGCAAATACTGGTTTGGCCAAAAAGTACATTTTTTTTCTGCAAAATGAAAGACACATTTTTCATTTTCACCAATAACTTTATTGATTTGGATATTTTGAGTATATCAGCTATCTTTCATTATTGGCTTATAGTGGGCAGAAGCCAGGGGTGCCACTAAATATCTTCCAATGCATAAGATAGCCCTACAGCAAAGAATTATTTTGCCAAAATGTCAATAGTACCAAGAAACTTTGCAAACCAGTTTTGACATGTACGATCAGTCATAGCACCTTCTCCATACACTGCACAAATATTTTTTTTGCATTTCAGTTGCAAAAAACTGAAATGCAAATAATAAAGTAATAATATTTTAATAAAATACTTTACTAATAAAATAATAATTTGCTAATAAAATACTTTAATAATACTTTAATAAAATAATAAAGTATAATAACACCAAAAATGTTGCTTATTTTCTTCCTTCTTCAATATTAAAATGACTACACAAAAATTCACCAATTTTGATAACTTTTTTAAAATGCATGCTGATATGGTAGCTGTCACAATATAATCTAACAAAATTCTTTCAAATGAATTTAAAGACAACTAAGCACTACAAGAGCCACTGCAGGGAAAAAATGTAATGGAGCTTTTGGTGAACCCAATGGAAACTATTTTACTTCTTCCTTTCCAATTTAGATGCCTTTCATTTCTTTTTGTTGCCTTACTGTTCTGGCTAAGACTCAGTGCTACTTTAAATAAAAGTGGCAAGAATCCTTATCTTGTTCCTGATACGGGAAAAAACTTTTAGCTTTTGCCTCAACATGATGTTAGCTGTGGGCTTGCCATATACAGCCTTTATCATATTGAGGTATTTCCCTCTATACCTACTTTGTTGAGAGTTGGTTTTAAGATTTTATTTATTTATTTTTAGAGAGGGAAAGGGAGGAAGAAAGGGAGAGACTCATCAATGTGTGGTTGCATCCCGCGCACCCCCTACCGGGAACCTGGCCTGCACAGCCCAGGCATGTGCCCTGCACTGGGTATCAAACAGGTGACCCTTTGATTTGCAGACCGGCACTCAATCCACTGAGGCACACCAGTCAGGGCTGTTAAGTTTTTATCATGAATGGATGCTTTAAAAATTCAACATTTTAAATGAAACTTTACTTAATGTAATTTTAAAGTTCATATAAAAGACCAAAAAGGCAAGTATAAACACATACTTCTGAAGAGAAAGGTGGAGGAATCTGTCCTACCAGAGAGCAGAATGTTTTTTAAAGAAGCAAGAGTTATTAGGACAGAAATAGATAAAAAAGCCAAATGTAACAAGAGTGAATTATGTATACATGGAATTTAATATATGACAAAAGAAACATTGCGGATCAGTGGAAAACAGACTTTTTATTCAGTGGGGCACCCATAATTTGTTCTTTGTATGGGAAAAAATTACAACGAATCTCTATTTCACATCTTTGATAAAAACAATTCCAGTTACATTAATAGGAAATTCCAGTTACATTAATAAGTCAAAACATCACAAACAGGAGAAAACTGGGCTAGGGAAATGTTTTAAGACTCTCCCTCAAAGGTATGAAGCACATAGGAAAAAGGTAGAATTTTTCCTTTTTATTTTTTTCATCATCATTTATAAAGTTAAAGTTTTATAAACTATATATTATAATTTAACTACTAATTATATAATTTAACCATACTAACACAGAGAATGACTATTCATCAAATGATAACATAAAGAAAAAAGAACCACAACTGGCCCTGGCTGGTGTGGCTCAGGGGACTGAGTGCCAGTCTACAAACCAAAGTTGCTGGTTCAATTTCCAGTCTAGGGCACATGCCTGAGTTGTGGGCCAGGTCCACAATATGGGGTGTGCGAAAGGCAACCACACATTGATGTCTCTCTCCCTCTCTTTCTTCCTCCCTTCCTCTCTCTAAAAATAAATAAAATCTTTTCAAAAAAACCACAACTGGAAAAGATGTCTATAAAACATGTTACTGACCAGAAATTAAGTATCCAGAAAATATTTAAGAAATTCCTACAAATCTTAAGAAAAAGACCAACAGTCTAATACAAAAATGATCAAAGTAGCACCACACGAAGACACACTAATGGCCAAATAACATATGGAAAGGTAATAATCTTCAATGGTAACCAGAAAAATTTAATTTAAACCAGTGAAATAAGATTTTATACTCATGAATCAGACCGTTAAGAAAATGAAAAAAATCTTACACTTCAGTTACAGGGAGAAAAGGTGGAACAAACACTTGCAGAGGAGTTTGGCGTTACCCAGTAAAGCTGAGTAAGTATGTATGCCAAGACCAAGCAATTATATTCCTAAGGGTATTTCCTAGCAAATCTCTTACATATGCAAATCTAGAAATTTACATTTTATCTTATAATTTTATGTTAATCTTGTTATATATACCCTATGGTATACATAAAATATATATTTAATATACCTTATTGTATGTATAAAATGTATATTATGTATAAAATGTATATTAACTACATTTTGTAACTATTTTTTAAATAAAAAACAATAGGTTGAAGAGCCAAAAGGTCATAGCTGAAGAATATATTAGTAAATCAACAGAAGTCAAACCAAGAATTTCTATGTAAAAGCAGTATAAATGGAAAAACAGATGAAGAGTAAAAGACACTGGATGATCTGGATGTTCTAATGCCTGTTTAACAGGAGCTTAAGAGGGAAAAGGTGAAATGGCAGCAAGGTAATATTTGAAGTGATGACTGCCAAGGACTTCCTATAACCAAAAACAGGTAAGTCCTCAGATTGCAAAATATACCAGAAGTACTGTTGCATTTCTTCAGGTCTCTGCACAAATGTCAACTTAATCAAAAAGTTTTTTTTACCATGTCACATAAACTAGCACCCTCTATCCCCTGTTTCTACTTCGTTTTTCTTTTTAACATTTACTATTACATGATAAATTATGTATTAATTTATTTGTGTATTTCTCCCTGCACTGGAGGGTGACCTCTGAGAATAAAGTTTTTTCAGGTTCTATTTGCTACTGTAACCCTCAGTGTTAAGAACAGGGCTGGGGCCCTGACTGGCAGCTCAGCTGGTTGAGTGTTGTCCTGCAAAGTGAAAAGTCTCCAGTTTGATTCCCGGTCTGGGCATATGCCTGGGTTGCGGGTTCAGTCCCTGGTCAGGGTGCATGTGAGAGGCAATCGATTGATGTTTCTCCCTCACATTGATGTTTCTCTCTCACATTGATGTTTCTCTCCCTCTCTGTCTCCCTTCCTTCCCCTCTAAAAATAAATAAAATACAATAAAATATAAAAGAATAGTGCTGGGTATACAATGGGTACTCAGTAAACATATACTGAATGCTGTCCCATTTTTCCTCCTGCATATAAAATCTCTTATTCTTTGCCAGCTCTAAGTTCTCAACAGAAGCACAGGCCCTTCATTTCCAATATTCTACCTAAAGTCAATGACATGCGTGCTCAAACCTCTGACTGCTTTGTGGATCAATTTCTCTTCCACACCTTTAGCTCTCACTTTCTGCTGAGCTCCCTATTTTAACCACTCTTATGGTGGTTCTACTTTGTAGAAGTTATATATAAACATGTTCTAGTACCCCTACTAAGCTATAAATTCTATAACTGCTTATTCCTTGTTTCAATATCTCCAGAATCTAGTAGAATAACTCACACACATTAGAAAATCAGTAAATGTTTGTTAAAAGTATGACTGAATCAATGAGTGTATGAACTACTGTCTAAAAAACTCTAAATAATCAGTCATTGGCAATGTAGAAGAGAATATATTTCAGGAGACAGTGATGCTTTTTTAAAGGTTAATACAAAAGAGGATGAGAAGCTGATAAGGAACTAGATCCAAAATATGGACACAAAGAAGTATCATTAGAGAAGGTAGAAGAGGGCACAGCTAACTAGAATTAGGAGAAAAGTGTAAGAGGAAAAGAACAGGCAATGTGTTAAGCAAGTGAAAAAGGTGAAGTCATTTGAAAGCTCACACAGAAAAGGCTTACTTTTGTACAATAGGCCTAAGGCTTTTAAGGGAGCTTCCCAGATAGCAACTAAGGTATAGCCTCTCCACTGAACAACTGGGTTGTTACTGCCATGCCTCACTTACCTGGACACTGGCCTCCTGTTACTTCTCTGTTAACCAACCAGGGCTCCTTCCCCTGCTCCAAGAAGGAGATCACATCTGGTTTAGAAATAGAATGTCCTGCTTATAAAAGAAGTAATGAGACATGTTTATGATAAGAATGTCCCAGAATTCAAATCTAGTTCTTTCATTAAGAAAGAGTCAAAGAAAGGTATAACAGATACATGAAACATAATGAGGATTTGAAACTTCCTTCATAACTCAACACAGCTTCTTCTTTCTCACTCTATAATATTAAACACATTTCTCTGGGAACTGGATTAGAAACCTAATTGGTTCCTTGGAAGGTGAGTATTTCACCCTGGAGGAAGTAGAACTATTGAGGGCAGAATCTGAGTTAATATGGACAGATGTCCTTACCCATTGAAACCAGGTTGTTGTAATTCTCCAACATCACATCTCTGTATAAATCTCTCTGATCATCATTCAGGCATTCCCACTCCTCCTGAGAGAAGTCTATGGACACATCACTGAACATCACTGACTCCTGGAACAACAATCATGTATATGACTTGATTAATTAAAGAAGTGTTTTTGTGAAGAAAAGAGAGAAGAAAAAATAAAAGTAGAGGAAGTGAAAAATAGCAAGCATATAGAGAAGGTCTGAATGTCTGGGATGCAAGCAGAGGACTGTAAACAAATAAGCATGACTGAATCAATGTGCTTCCATACCATTATGTTTCCTCCAGACAAAACTGCTTCTGTATACTGGAACACTTCCACTATGTAAGTCTGAGAAGGTACAAAGTCTACTAAGAGGAGTTTCAGAATTAAATGAAATAGTATATGAAAACGCCAAACACAATACTTGTCATACAGTATATGTGTGCTTCTTTGTCCCTCCTCTTTTTCCAAATACTAAAAGTAAAATTTCAAAAGAAGTGATAAAGGGAAGATATTAAAAGCATTCAGAGAAGAGTAGATCATTTAAGACATCACGAATCAGAGAGGCAATGGGGTTCTTTATAAAACTACTAAAAATAAGAAATAAGAGCAATTCTTCAATATTCTTATGGAAAAAAGAAATTCTGACAAAGAATTCTATAAATGAACTATCGTTCTGTTGTAAGGAGTGAAAAAAAACAACAAACATTCCTAGACAGAAAGGACACAAGCACAAGTTTCTTAGGAAACTAATGAGGATGTACTCCACCAAAATGGAGCAATAAAGAAGAAAAGAGGAAGACATGAGATTCAAGAAATAGGCAAATTAACACACGAAAATAATGAAGGAAAATCCCAGGAAACAAAAAAAAAAGGGAAGTCTTGGGAAAACTGCAGCAGGCCTAGAGAGTAATCAGACTAGGAGGGAGCAGGGCCAAAAAGGGAACAGAGATGGAAGTTTCCATTTGTTCAAAAGGAATGATGTGTTTGATCAGATAGAAAACACATTAATTGGCATGTGACAGTAATCCTGGAGATTTTGAATAAAAATACATGGACAACTAAGCAAATGTGGGGAAAAAATTAACTTCAGGAGAAAGGAAACGCTGTAATAGGATACAGCTGAGCTAACTCAGGAGTGACTGATATTTACAGTCCTAGTAGTCTATACACTATTAATTTAAGCGAAAATTGTAAGATAATAACAGAATGAGAGGAAATGAAGGATGCAGTAGGTAGTACAATGTTACTTCCATTCTGCAGTAAGTCAAGAGATAATGAGTAAAACTGATTCATTAAAAGATACCGAGTAAGCTGGTGTGGTTCAGTGGATTGAGTGCCGGCCCGGCCTGTGAACAAAAAGTTGCTGGTTCGATTCCCAGTCAGGGCACATGCTTGGCTTGTGGGCCAGGTCTCCAGTAGGGGGACCATGAGAGACAACCACACACTGATGTTTCGCTCCCTCTCATTCTCCTTCCCTTCTCCTCTGTCTAAAACTAAATACATAAAATGTTTAAAAAAAAAAAAGAGAGATAGCAATTATACCATATTCAAGAGCTGAGGGTGAAAAGGTGTTGGGGACCTGGGTGAAAAAGGTAAAGGGATTAAGAACTACAAATTGGCAATTACAAAGCAGTCACAGGGTTATAAAATATAGTATAGGGAATATAGTCAATAATATTATAATTATGTATGGTGCCAGGCAGGATCACTTTGTAAATTATATGATTGTCTAACCACTACACTAAACACCTGAAACTAATATATAAGTAATATTGAAAATCAACTGTAATTAAAAAATTAAATAAAAAAAGAGTTGAGGGCAGCCAGCTTTTAGGAATGGAACTGGTGATAAGACTGGAGTAGTACTACTTCACTTGTATACATGTGTAAAGTGACTTTTAAAAAATTTCATCTTAGAAAATTATATTCACATATAAGTCAAGACTGAACCATTAAAATGTCACACTATTATATAATAAGTTATTCCTTGTTACAACAAATTCTTTTAATAAGCATATTTTTCACTGAGTAATACTCTATTATAGGGCTATAAATGATAATTTTTCTTTTGCTTTCAGACAGTGAGGCTATAGGTGATCTTTAAAGATCTCCCCAACATTAGCCCAATCTTAGTACTTAAAAAATGAGTTTGTAAACAATGTTTAAAAGAAGAAGGGAAAAACTAGGGGTTGGGGGGGTGCTGGGTTGTTGAGTAGGAAATAGGGGTGAGTCTCCTTAAGTGGGACCATTTTAACCAGTGTAAAAAAAAATTTTTTTCCCCCAAACCTGGTCTCAGGTCAGACAGTTTTTTTTATATTTTATAACTTACAATCTCTATGTGGAAACAAGTCTTGATGAAATTCATAAGGAATTTTCTGATAAATATTAATCTGATTAACGCCTCTTCAGAGAAACTTATTATCCAACCACTTGACCCTCTAACAGTTATCTGCAAGAGTATAAAGAGAGATCTTTAACCAGACATTCTTTTCTTTTTTCCAACAATGATTATTGAACCACTCCCTTTTTCTATAACTATCTCCACAAACAGAGAAATATTTAAATTGGACTATCAGAGATCTTTTTATTCAGAGCAAAAGTAAGAGAACTTTGGAGATAGTTATAATGAAACTGTCTGAAAGTTTGTTTGTTTTTGTTTTCTAAACACCAAAAAGCATCATGATGAGGAAAGCAAGTGTTTTCATGTGCTAGGGATAAAAATGACTGTATTTGAGCAAAAGAAAATATCATCTCACCTGAGCCATGGCTTTGATATTTGCGGAGAAAGGTCAATCCTCTTTGGGGCTCCTTTTTTGGAAAAAGACAGAGCTGGGGGAGGCAAAAGAAGCTACATAAGATCCCACTAGCCTTATAGCTCCAAAAATGATCCTTTCCCCTCTGTTCATTCCACACAAACACTTGAGGGGTTATTAGTGAGAAAAATAAACAAATATCCCATTATAGCCAACTCCAAAATCCTCAGGCTTTAAGTAGAGCAGGATAGATTTGAATAACCTGATATGGCTTGGAGAATACACTTTGTATATATGCACATATATACCCAAAGATATAATTTTTACACAAATGGCAGCATATTATACATACTGTTACACATATTTGCTATTTTAACAATGTATTTTGTATTGGATCCCAACTAGTATATAGAGAGATACATAATTCTCTTAGCTAAATAGTGTGTCATTAAGTAGATATACTTTATTTAACTAATCTGCTGCAGATTAGTTGGGTTGTTTCCAATCTTTCACTATAACCATGCTATACTAAAGATCTTTGTACATATCATTTTACCAGCATATGAATTTTGATGATTAATTCCTAAAAGTTGATCATAATCACTTTGGTTTGGATATACATTGGCCAAACCAGTTTTCAATGATCTTGGATTATACAGTCAAGTCCAAAGTCCTGAGCAAGAAACAACTGATTGATAAACCAGATCCTCTAATCCTGCCTTGAGAGTCTTGCCTTACCTGAAATCAAGAAAAACAAAGTAATGTTACTGAAACTGATGTTGTATTACTCCAACCGAGCCACCAGGGCCCAGTACGATTTAAATTAGCTTAACAATAGGAAGGAATTAAGAGTATAGAAATTATGTCGCAATTGACTATACTCACATCACTGATGTTTTAGAATAGCTTTTACTTTATGTAAATGAAGTAATACTTTTAATCATCATGTATATTCTATCTCCCTCTTAAGATGTGTAAAACATCCAAAAGAGCCCTGGCCAGTGTGGCTCAGTTGGTTGGACCATTGTCCCATAAACCAAAATTTTGCGGGTTTGATTCCTGATCAGGGCACATGCCTAGGTTGAGGGTTCAGTTCCTGGTCAGGGCACATACAAGAGGCAACTGATCAATGTTTCTCTCCCACTGATGTCTGTCTCTCTCTCTACCCTCCTCTCCCCTCTCTTTAAAATCAATAATCATGTCCTTGGTGAGGAAAATAAATAAATAAATAAATAAATACCCAAAAGAATAAGTTATACTAAAATACTAACAGAAGTATAAATTAACTGATTTGTAACTGATTTGTGATATACGTTTAAACTTTTAAGAAAAAAATTTCTTTTTTGCTTATTAGACATAGGAATAGAATAAACTGAGCATTATAAAAGTATAAAGGACAGTGAGCATTCATTTCTATGCACAAAGCTCCTTGATTATTGAACAATTTATCAATAGTTTCATGTAAAACTAAACACCTAGGAAACAGCACCATGTTTTCAATTATTTAATGGCTACTCACTGTATTCCTCCAGGTGTATACATGTTCCAGGAAATCAAAACCAAAATAATCCATACGTCTCTTCCTTAAAAACCTAAAGGCACTCCTTTTTAAAAAATACCCTTAATGGAAGATATGTTTATTGATTTTAGAGAGAGAAGATGCGGGTGGGGGGGGGGAGAGGGAGGGAGACGGAGGGGGGGGAGAGAGAGAGAGAGAGAGAGAGAGAGAGAGAGAGAGAGAGAGGCACTGATCAGTTGCCTCTCATAGGCACCTGGCCAGGGAGGGATCAAACCCACAACTCTTTGGTGTATGGGATGATGCTGCAAGCAACTGAGCCACCCTGCCAGGTCCTGAAAGCACTCTTTTTAATATTATTACTATTTATTAAGTCCCTAGTACTCTTTTACCAACCACATAGCCTATGTACTAGGTATTGTACCAAATACTATAGAATTAACAGTAATCCAGAAAGACTTGGAAACAAAATTCTTTCTCCCATACTCATTTTATGTCTTCTTTTCTGGCCTCTCCTCCTGGCCTTTCCCTGGTTAAAGGGACATCATCGGGTACTGCACCTTCCAAGTATTATTGAATGAGCAGGAAACATTCTTACTTCAATACTTCCTTCTACCTTTGTCACATCCCCAAACCTCTTCATCTTTGCCCCTATGGGACATCCTCACAGGCTGAATTCTTGCATACAAGGGATCTTCTCCTTTTGAAAGCCAAACAACTCTATGGACAAGACGATGATAAACAGATAGGTAGGTAGGTAGATAGATAGATGGAAAGAAAGAATGCATCATTGCAAAAAGATATCTCTACAGAGAAGAAAGTCCTTTAAAACTGGGTAACTAACTTACATTTTTTGTGTTTCATACTCTTCTAAATAATGAACCTAGCTCTGACCCATGTGGCTCAGTTGGTGGAGCATCCTCCCATAGACCAAAGGGTTGCAGATTCAATCCCTGTTGGGAGGCAAACGAGAGGCAACGAATAGATGTGTTTCTCTCATATCCATGTTTCTCTCCCTCCCTTCCCCTCTATCTAAACTTGCCCTCAGGTGAGGAGAAAAGGGAAGGGAAGGGGAGGGGAAGGGGAGAGAAGAGGAGGGGAGAGGAGGAGAGAGAAGAGAAAGAAAAAAAATAATACACTTATCTTTTTATAAAAAGATCATTACTTCACTTAACAGTATGTTTTAAATTATTTCCAGCATCCTGAAAATTTCCCATATACTAGGTATTATATGTCCATAACAGAGATCTGAAAAGCAGTTTAAATTTTGTTTTATAATGAGAAGGCTAAAAGTAGATAGTGGCTGGCCTTGGCCCCCACAGTTGTTTCAGATGCACTATCTATCATACAATTAAAAATTACTACACATGCAAAAAGATTAAAAACAGAAATTAGGAACAGAACCACAGACAATTCAGATATTGGAGTTGGCAAACAAATAATTTAAAATAGCTATAATTAAATGTTAAAGACAACCAAGAAAAAAGATAGGCAAATGGATGATAAGATGAAGAAATTAAATGGAATTGAAATCTCTAAAAAAGAATCAAACAGATAATATAGATCAGCAAATTAAGAAATTAAAAAGTCTTCGCACAGTTTTAACAAGAGACCAGACAAGTAAAGGACAGGATTACTGAACTCAAAAGCAAGTAAAAAAATATATACATATGAAGTGCAGACAAAAAAGGAATAAAAAGAACATAACTGAATATAAAAGACACATGGGACACAGTCAAAAGAGCTACCATAAGTGTAAGTGGAGTCTCAGAAGGAAGAAAAGAAATTGGAGAGGAATTACTATTGAATAAATTAATTAATCAAATGCTTCAACAAGAGTTTCAAAAGCTCAGCAAATCTGAAGAATACTAAGTAAAATGAAAAGTAAAACAAACACACAAAACAAAAAGCCACAATCAAGCATAGTCAAAATGAAGAAAACCAAAGAGAAACAAAAAAGCTTGAAAGTACCCAGAGGAAGAAAAGAATATTACTAAGAGCACTGATGGGAAAAAAGGGGTTAACTATACAAATGAACAATATCAGGAATGAAAAGGTAACACCATTCCAGATGCCACAGACATTAAAAATATAGTAAGAGAATACTAATAACTTATGTTCTTAACTGTGAAAGCTTAGTTAAAATAGACAAATTCCTTAAAATGTCAAAACTGACATAAAAATAACAGAACATCTAAAGTGTTAAATTGATTCCATAATTTTAAAATCTTCCTATCAAGAAAAAATTAGGCCCTGACAGCTTCGCCAGTGAATTCTTTCAATTTAAGGAACAACTTTATTCTTACATGTAATGAACAAAGAAACAGTGAATTCTTCCCAGCTCATTTTATGAGGCTAATAGAAGCCTGACACCAAAACTTAACAAAAACAGAAGAAAATTATGAGCCAATGTATCTCATAAATATATATACAGAAATTCTACACAGTATTAGCAAATTTGACCAAGTAAAATTTTTAAAGAAAGGTTTAATACATTATGGCCAGGCAGAGTTTACTTCAGGAAAGAAAGGTTGGTTCGACATTTGAAAAGCAACATAGTTTACCACATTGATATGTTTAATAAAAGAAAAATCATATGATCCTCTTGATAGACACAAAAAATGAATCTGTCTAAATTCATCCTTCATTAATGTAAAAAAGTCCTAAATGAAAAAGAGAACTTCCTCAACTTGATAAATAGCATTTATAATAGGTGTTTTATATATGCTTGATACAAGGACAATATACAAAAAGCAACTATACTTTCAGCAATAAACTGGAAAATTAAAAAAGAAATATCATTCAGCTTCAACAATAAACATCAAATACCCAGGTGTAAATCTAACAGACATGCATCGACAACTACAAATTGCTGAGAGAAATGAAAGACCTTAACAAATGTAGACATATATTTATTAGTTGAAAGATTAAATATTGATAAAATGTCAGTTTTCCTCAAATTAACATACAGATTCATAAACAAAATCCCAGCAAGGACTTTTCTTTTTTGGTGAGAATTAACAAGTTGATCTCAACATCTATAGGAAATGGAAAGGATATATAATAGCCAAGACAGTCTCAAAAAAGTAGGAAAAACGTTGGAGAATTAATACCACTGAGTTCAAGATCGTGGCACTGACCAAAAAGACAAATAATAAAACAGAATACAGTCCAGAAAGAGCCACAATATAATATCACCTGATTTATGATAAAAACTCCTTGTATTCAGATGGGAAAGATGGTGTTTTTAATCAACAGTGCTAGAACTGTGTACTTGAATGTGAAAAAAAAATAGCCTTTACCCCTACCTCTCACCATACACAAAAATTAATTCAAGATAGGTCACACACTTAAATATAAATGATGAATCTGTAAAACTTTTAAAAGAAAACATAGGAGAATATCTTTAAGATGTTGGGAATAAGCGAAGATTTCTTTTCAAGGTATAAAAAAAGTACTAATCATAAAAGATAAAGGGCTAAAAATCATCTGGAAAAATGGGGAAAAGGCATAAATAATCAATCTAAAAAGATTTAAAATGTTCAAATGCACTCATATTTAAAAAAATAAGAAAACAACACTAAGATGCTGTTTTTCATGCATTAGATTGGTAAAAACCAGAAAGCATGACAAGACATTCTGTTGGCTATGCTGTAGAGTGGGGGACAGGAACGTGCTCTTACATATTGCAAGTGGGAATGAAACTGGTACAGGAGTCACACAGAGGAATTTAGTAATACCCATCAAAACTGTGTATGTACTTACCTTTGACCCAGCAATCCCATTTCTAGAAATCTACCCTGAAGATATACTTCCAAGCAATACAAAAATACACATGTACAAAATTTATTGTAGGACTCTTTACAGTAGCAAAATATTGTAAATGACTTAAATGTCCATAATAGGATAGTGGCTGAATAAACTATGGTAAACCCATAAATATACTATAATATTTATTATGTAACTATATAAGCAAAAGCTACGAGTATCCCATTGAATTGTGATGGAGTAATGTCCAGCATATATCATTAAGTGAAAGAAGCAATGTTAAAAAGAGTTTGCTATGGTTAATGCAAAAAAGAAGTCATTCAAAAGGATACATGTGCCTTGGCTGGTGTGGCTCAGTGGATTGAGAGATGGTCTGTGAACCAGAGTTGCCAGTTTGATTCCCAGTCAGGGCACATGCCTGGGTTGCGGGCCAGGTCCCCAGTAGGGGGCACACATGAGGCAATCACACACTGATGTTTCCCTCCCTTTCTTTCTCCCTCCCTTCCCCTCTCTCTGAAAATAAATAAATAACATCTTTAAAAAAAGGACACATGTATTTTCTCATTTGCACAAAATAGCAGAAGGATAAAGCAGAGACTGAGGTTCATTTACATGCAGGGAGTAGGCAGGAACCACATTATTTTCGTGCTCAAAATACTGTGACATTCAACAATCAACCAGGATGTGAGGGAACCCAAAGTGTAACACACAAAGCTAAATATATGAAAAATGAATAACAAAACTACACTAAGGCTGGCAAAGAAAAGAACTAAATTGAAAATAGTTTTTCACTATATATCTGCAAGGTTAAGGGAAAAAAGTGGCACACAGATACTTCACTGTAGTTTGTTTTTTATATGAATATGAGTGAGCAATTCTGAAACTACATTTATTCTAGGATATAAATAAAAAAATACTGACACTAGAAACAGATTTCTCACTGTTGGAGAAAGGAGTTACAAATAAGGAAATGGCCAAACCTGATGCACAACAGTTCTCCTTGGTGTGAATTAACAGATTTCTGCACATCTTGCCATCAGAAGCACTAAGCTCTATTATTTTGTATTATTATTTCTCTGAGATGTTTATTTAGTCAACAGCCTTGAGAGACAGATATTCTCTCTCCAGAGAAAAGGGCAAGCAGGCTTACTACCCAGTATATAAGATTCAAGTTCCCTAAATTCATGGGAGCACACATATATTTGTGTATTTGCATCACCCTATGGGTGCAAGTGAGCCAGTGCAAGAAAATATAGATACTTTGGCTATTGCTATGAGCAATTAACTGTCTTTTATTTCTGACCCAAAAGTCACCTGTTTCCTGCCAGCATCTGTAGATATGTGCCAAGCTAACTTGTTAAATTACAAGTAGGGTAAACTCTCAGACACTTCACAGTTCTTGACAGGATCCTGTAGCATTGGATTAGAAGTGAAAGTATGAGTATGAACTAGTGGTTTTTTAATGTACACAAATAGATAGGTAGATAAATAGCTATAATGTGTATATATACATCTGTGTATTTTCTCTCTCTGTCCAATGACAAAAACTAGAGCAATTACACACAGGTAGCAATGAGCAGACCTAGTGACCACAGCTTGGTTTATAAATCCACTCTGCAATAAAAGAAATCAGGGTTCCTTGGAAAACTGCTGATTCCAGGGCTGGAGGAGAGAAAAATACACGAGAAGCCTGGAGCGTTTTGGTGCTAGAAAGCAAGAAAGCGTTCAGAAAACGATGACATGTTGAAAGGACACATGAGTCAACTGAAGGAGTTCCTAAAGGCAAAATCTGGGACAATTTAGCAATAAAATATATAATAATAATGATAATGATGATGATGATGAATTAAAACTCAGAATGAAATAAATGTCCACAAGTTCACAAATAATCAAATAAACACATAGAGAATAAGGAATAGTTCTTCCTTGTAGTAGAATTTAAATTAATAAATGCAGAAGGAATGACGGAAAGAGAAAATCACCACAAAGCAAACATCAGAGTAATAATTATTTCATACAAGAATTACCAATGAATTTAATGGGTAAAAGAGTATGATGAGCAATATTATTTTTGCATAGTCTCAAAGAATATCTTCACAAGATACTAATGAATAAGGAAAAATTTGGCATATGAGAGACCTGGCACCCACCACCAGTTAATTTGTAATAGTCAAAAACTGGAAACTATCAAATATTCATCAACAATGTAATCTATTACTAAATAGCAATATATCCCCAAATGTAATGAGCACTAAGTGCAATTACACTCAAAAGCATAGATGATTCTCAGGTATAATGTGGAACAAAAGAAGCCAGACATGGGGAAAATAGCACATGTTATATAATTTCATTATAAATGAAGTTCAAAAATAAGTAAAACTAACTAATTGAGATAGGCTTCTGATTAGTGATTCTGGGAAGGAAATAATAAGGAAGGGGTATGAGGGAATCCTTTGGGAGTGCAGGCAAAGTCCTTTGTATCAATCTAGGAAGTTGTCATACAGCTGTATACTTAAATTTTGTGCACTTTACCATATATCTCATAAAAATGTCTTAAAAACTATCAGAACCATGTTTTGGTATAGATATATGGAATAATAAAATGTTTTAAACATTGCTGTGCAAGTATAAGTTTGTGCACCACGTTAGTAAATATTTTGGCATTAATTAGCAAAATATCATATGACCCAGCAATTCCATTGGTAGATAAATTCATGCACATGTACTTTATGAAAAAGAATGCTGTGGCAGCATTGTTATAAAGGCAAACAACCAAACTAGAAATAAATGTCCATCATTACTAGAAAGGATAAGTAATAGTGGATCAAAAGAGGAATACAATATAGCAAAGAAAAACGAACCATTATTTAGAGCTAATATGGAAAATTCTCAAAAACATAGTTGTACAAATAAGCAAAAATAAAAGATAAAGCACAGCATTCACATAAAGTTTAAAAACCAGGGAAAACTACAGTATAATGCTTAAAGAAGTATACATAAGTGAAAAAAACCTCTCATACATGTATACAGTCACAAAATCACAGGACCAACTATGGGAACATAAAGCTAGAGGCGACTCACAATAAAAAAGCAACAGGGCCGCACACCCAGGGCCTCACACGGTCACAAGCATCGCATACCACAGTATTCACAGGCACCCCCACCTTTACCCTACAGCATAGGGTCACACAATCACACCCCTACGGGGTCAAACGCTGACACATCCACCGAGTCAAAAGCTCCCCACACACCCTTATAAAAAGCAGCACGTACCCCTCCTCCCATGGGCCAAAGCCCTTTCATCCCCCACCACACATACACCGGGTACTGCCTAGTCACACCAGCAGTCACAGGTTCCCAGACTGTGCTGCACACGGTAATTATCAAACAGCAAGTCACAACCACACAGTCAATCACCACATACCACCACCATATAGACATACACAATTCGAATCTGACCTCTGCGGTTCAAAGCCGAGGCTCCGGCTCTGGCCCCGCCCCCTCTTTGGGTTCCCCACGTCAGGCCTTGAGAGCTTCCAAACCAGCAGGAGCCTCCTTCACAGCACTGTTATAGTTGCAGGTGTAGACCTGTGGCTCCCGTCAGCGCTCGACTTCGGCCTGAATTCACGCGAGAATTACGTTATGCCGAGGAGTCCTTTGGGAAATGCAGTCAGAAACGTACCTAGGCGGGCAAGATGGCACTCTAACGTCAGGATTCGCGTCAGAGCTTAACTGAGACCCAACAGAAACAATTGAGCCCCAGCGGTCGAACCGCGCCCCAGCGGTCTCATAGAGCCTGGCTCAGCCTCGGGCCGTACTTCTGAAAAAGACCACTCCGTGTTTGAAATGGAGTTGGTTCCCTTAACTTCCGTACTATCCACGGTAGTTGGAAAGGCTCAAGAAGAGGAGGGCTGGTTTGCAAGGGAAGATAATAAGCACCGCCGACCCTTCTGGGAAATGTAGCTCGGGGCAGTGAAGGCGGTGGACCGTTGGATTGTTCACAGCCCGCGCCTAGCTACATCTCGGAGATTTCTGGGAGTGTCACTGCTGCCAAGGAGTACAGTTTCCCGAGTCGCCCTTTTGGCCGTCGTTCCGGCGTAACTTTGGCTTGGGGTTCTTTTCTGCAGAGGAGTTGTGGGACCTAAGCTTCTGAGTCCCAGAGCCGGTCCGGGAGGCTGAAAGGAAGAGACTAGGGACCTGCAAAGGAATTGGAAAGGCTGGTGGGGAAGAAATGCTAAACGTGAAACACAGTGGGGGAAGCGGAAGGGGAGGAGTTTCCGAGAATGCGTAAGGGGCTGGTATTCTGAGCTACTGGCGTTCCCGCGATTTGTCCGGGTCTGAGGATAAGAAGGCGACGGTGAGGCAGGCTTTGAAGGAAAAAGGGAATTGAGAGTCTGAGTGTGTGTGACAGGGTTTTGGGCTTCGTGGAGAGAGGGAGAAACTGTGTTCAGGATTTTGTGTGTGTAATTCAAAGTTCAAATGAGGATCTCTATGTTATCACTGGGATTGTATTTTGGAGAGTAATCTTTGAGCTTCCTCGGTGAAACAAACAAGGATACCTCTTCCTGGAGTGGTTTTCATTGTTTTAGATTTGATGGGGGAAAGTTTACATAATTGAGCTAATAAATATTTAAAGCTTGACTTTTATGAAAAATCAGAAGCATCTTTTATGGAATAGAGATAAAAAGTGTTGTTTTCTTTTAAAAGCAAATTTCAAAAAGTAACTTCTGCTGTTGCTTAGAATTCAGACCCTGGAGACTGCCTTTCAATCTCATAGGTTCTTTTCGAGTCCTGGGGGAAGGCTGCAGGTCTTACAGATCCTAAGTCTAAGGTCTAAGGGAACCGATTTGTGAAATCCTGGACTAAGGACTTCAAAGTTTGACAGATAGTGTCGACCATGGCAAATATAAGAGAATTGGCATGACTTAACAGAGATCAAAGAATGTAAGTTTGAATATACTCAAAGAGACTATTCAGATCAACTGATTTACTGATTCTCTAGGCCAGACGCATTTTGTTGGGTATAAAAATATTTTTTTCTAACTGCAAAGATGTTTTCTCCAAATATTTTATTGCAGTTACTTTTACCGTAAGTTTTAAAATTGATTTTAGAAGGAGGGAGAAACATTGATTTGTTGTTCCACTTATTTATTCATTAATTGGTTGATTCTTATATGTAACCTAATGGGGGGTGAACCTGCAACCTTGGCCTGTTGTGAGGACAACTAACCAATTGAGCTACTCAGCCAGGGCTAATGTAATTTTAAATAAAGGGAGAAAGCAAGGTGGTGGGTATAAAATTCATGTAAATGAATTTAATATATACAATCAAAACCTTGCAATAGGATTAAATGCTTAAGAATAATTTTAGCAATAAATAAATTAAAAGGTTTAAAACACTCCTAAAAGGCACAGAAAAAGCCTTATAAATGAAAAATATTATACTATATCCTGAATAAAAATTCTTAACATAAACATTTTAAATTAATTTATGAATTTAACATGATCCCACTTAAATATAGTATATTTTTCTAAAGTTCAAGTGGAAAAAAAGGTTAGAATAGACAGTATATCCTGAGAAAAAATGCAGTATGGGGCAGCTGGGGATAGCCTTACTGTAACGGGGCACAGCCAGGCACCCCGCCCCCCCCCTCCCCCCCCGCCCAAGGATATTTGTAACAGGGTCCAGAAATTAGGGTGTCTAAGAAAACTACATTCACCCCACCCCAAGACAGGCTGCCCTGGGGGATGGGAGACCTGGAGAAGGGCCATTGAAAGTTACTTTGTCTATCAGCAACAGGCCAACTTCCTACCTGAAGTGAAGCATGGCCACCGGAGGGTCATTTGGCATGTCAGTAACAAGATAGTTTCATTCCTCATATGCAAAGAGGGTTTTTTACATTTCAACAAGGCTAACCAGGAAGGTCTGAAAGACTTAATACAGAATGCAACAGAGAGAGGGAAGAGGAAAGACTGGGGCCTGCGGGAGAGACAAAGGGACTCGGACTACGGAACAATGTGAACCACGCAGGAAGAAGGAGGGGAGAAAGGACTCTTGCTAGTGGGCCGTAAGAAGGTGCCACATGGTTTTGGAGTAAGAACTGGAGATTGCGGCAACACAGCGGATGGTGCTGAGAATTGTGAAAGGCCTGCCTAACCAAGTCCGAAACTTCTGTTCTTTTCCTTCTGAAGGACGGTACCCCTGACTGACCTAACTGGGCAAAGCAGGGAAGGCAGGACTGTGTGTGTTTTAAATGGTGGGTGTTTTAAATGGTGGGAGCTTTAAAGGGATTTTGAGATTTAAGAGCAACATTTAGCCATTAATCAAACCTGTATAACTTTTGAATAAAGTTCCTTTCCTTTTCACCAAACTCTGCCATTCAGAGCCATAATTCCCAAGGCGGCCGGCAAAGAAACTACAACTGAGGGACACCAGGAAAGGGGGGGGTCGTTGTTTTGGTAATAGCATCTGGGCACCTCCCCACGGGTCCATTGTTCAGTAACATTGCCAGGTTACAAACTGTACCGGTAAACTTAAAAAACTGAAATGGAACTCATCTGACTGGACAGACCAGTGGAACACAAGAGAGAATCCAAAAACAGAAACAGAATTTTAGTGTATGGTGAATGAGGCATTTCACATCAATTGGGAAAGATGGACTTTTCAAGAAAGGTAAAAAGGGACAATTTGATAGCCTTTCTGGGAAAAGAGAGAGAATGGAATACTAGTGTTTTTGTCTTTGCTTTCAAAGTAATGATGACCTTGTAAAATAAGTTAGGACAAGTTCACATCTCTAATGTTTTAGAAGAATTTGAGAAGGATGGATGTTGATGCTTTAAGTGCTTAATAGAATTGAGCAGTGAAGCCATCTGGTCCAGGCATTTCTTTGTTGGGAGGTTTCATCACTGCTTCGATTTTCTTGCTAGTTACAGATCTCAGAATTTCTATTTGCGATTCAGTTTTGGTAAGTTGTGTGTTTTTAGGAATTTATTTCATATAGGTTATCCATTTGTTGGTGTATAATTGTTCATAGTATTCTCTAATAATCCTTTTTATGTCTCTAAAATTGGTAGTAATGTCCCCACTTTGATTTTCAGTTTTACTAATTTGAGTCTTTTTCTTAATGTTATCAATTTTTTTTGAAATAACTGTTTCATTGATCAAATTATTTTTCCAGTGTTTTATTTATCTGTGTTCCTACCTTTATTTTCTCTTTACTAGTTTGTTTAGTATCCTCCTATTCTAGTTTTTTAGGCTGGAAACTTAGTCGTTCATTCAACTTCTATGTGTTTAAACTTTAACCTTTATTCTTAGCATTGCTTTTGCTGCATCCCGTAAGTTTTTATATGGTCAGTGTTCATTTTAATTTGTTTCCAAATATTCTTAAAATGTTTCTTGGGATTTCTTTGACTCCTTGTTTAAGAGTGTGATGTTTAATTTCTACTTATTTGGAATTTTCCACTTTTTCTGCTTTTTTTTGATGTCTAGTTTCATTCAGTTACATATCATTTGAAGTTATATATTGTATTACTCAACTGTTTAAATTTATCAAGACTTTTTTTTTTTAAGCTTTTATTTTTAGAAAGAGGGGAGGAGAGGGAAACACCAATATGTGGTTGCCTCTTGTGCACCCCCAAATGGGGACCTGGCCTGCAACCCAGGTATGTGCCCTGACAGAATTGAACTGGCAACCCTTTGGTTTGCAGGCCACCACTCAAGCCACTGAGCCAGCTAGGCCTCAAGACTTGTTTTGTGACCTGATAGTCTATTCCGCTAAATGTTCCATTAGAAAAAATTTTATTCTGCTGTTGCTAGGTGCAGTGTTTCCTGTTAGGTTTAAATGGTTTTAAACCACTTTTAAGTCATTTTTGTCCTTACTGATTTTCCTGTTGTTCTGCTCATCATTGAGAGTAGAGTATAGCTCTGGCTGGTATGGCTCAGTGGACTGACTGCAATCTGCTAACCAAAGGTTGCCGGTTCTATTCCCAGTCAGAGCACATGCCTGGGTTGTGGGCCAGGGCCCCATTAGGGGGTGCACAAGAGGCAACCACACACTGATGTTTCTCTCCTTCTCTTTCTCCCTCCCATCCCCTCTCTAAAAATGAATAAATAAAATCTTTTAGAAAAAAAGAAAAACAGAGTATAGCCTTGCACCACTTAATGATGAGGATATGTTCTGAGAAATGCAGTTAGGTAATTTCATCATTATGTGACCATCATAAAGTATACAGGTATACATCATTTTATTGCACTTCACAGATACTGTGTTTTTTACAGATTTAAAGTTTGTAGCAACTCTGTCAAGCAAGTCTGTTGCTGTCATTTTTCAAATAGGCTCAGATGATGGTTAGTATTTTTAGCAATATTTTAAATTATGGTATATACATTTTTTAGACAAAATGCTGTTGCACACAATAGATTATAGTGCAAATATAACTTTTATATGCACTGGAAAACCAAAAAAATCATGTGACTCACTTTATTGCGATATTTCCTTCATTGTGGTGGTCTGGAAATGAACCCACAGTATGTCAAGTATGTCTGTAATCACACAAACCTAGGTGATATAGCCTACTATATACTATATATATTTTTTGATTGAAAAATGAATCAATATACATTTAATTACTGGAAAGGAAGAACTGTTA